TCTAGCTCCGCCTCAGCCCACAAATGTGACAAAACCAAAGGGTAGGATCTCCCAGTTCCCCGCTTTGTACTAGCAATGTGGAGGATCAAAAGGACTTTCTTGCATCCTTTAAAGGACTGTGCAAAAAGCAAGTGTGTATTATCAAGTATTTGTCCAAACAACCACCAGCTTAACTTTTTCAAATTGGAACTGCCTGGATCAACAAACCTTCACCTTCAAGTTTCAACTTTGCTCGCCTCACCTAGACTTTCCTAATTCCCAGTTCTTTTTATAAGAGATTTTCCTAATTCCTAGTAATAGCCTCGGACAGTTGAAGAATAAGAATCAGTTAATTGCTTGAAAAAATGGAAAGATTTACTGAATCCTGCAGCAGAATTAAATGCATCGATTCCAATCTTAATATAGCTTCCATAATGCTAGGCGCCTCACTTTGTTTCCAGCTACCCCTAACTAATCTAATACTGACAATGGCCAAGTGAAACTATATGGACAACAGCGGAGGGCCATTCGAAGGAATGATGGATCTAGGACAAATAGTTATTGCAGACAAACTTCCTGCTGCTCCATCTACAGAACTGTACACAGTGCACAAAGAACCAGGGCGGATGTAGTGTAGGGAGGAAGTGAAGAACATAGAAGATTTTTAAGGGGTTGTTTGGTTCACATACTAGTTGTGTGGGATTATAATATAAGAATCGTTTATCCAATGAATAATAATATTGGAATAGTTTTGTGATGAATAATAATGCACTAAATGTTATGCAGGGTTACCTACTTAAAGGGCGTTTTCATCTTTAGATACGCTTATTTACATATTACTAATACATGTATTCTTATTTCACATTTATCCCGCATAAAATATTACATAAATTCCTTCATAAGTTATGCCGCTATAAAGTTTAATACTGCCAACTAAATGTTGCGTTAGTTATATTAAGATCACCGTATTGCTTATGTGGAATTTTATGCAGGGATTATCTTTACTGATACAACCAACCAAACAGCCCCTAAGGATGTTCTTTTGCTGATCAACCAAGCCAGAACTGGAAAGAATCCTCTTGCGGCACATATGGAGGATTGTTGGTATAAAATTGGAAACCTCATGACGCAAGCTCAAGCATGTTAAAAACGTGACCAACAGAGCGGCAGATTGTCCGGTTAGTCATGTGCACATATGTTAAAAGGCTCACACTAATTTGTCACCTGTTCCCTAAATTTCGTGTTTAACTTAAGGCAGCGGAACTGTAACTCTTCCTACATTTCAGGCCCTTGGACATCTGAAGCACAAAAATAAGTAAATAACATATGCGAACGTGAAACATGCCACTAGTTCCTCAGCAGAACACCATTCTAGTTCATTGGCTTTTTCCACTACTCTCATAAAAGTATTGCATTTGCACAAAACTCCTACGATCACCTAATTATAGTGGAAATGCATTCAAAGCATAAAAGGAGTGCCTCGACTTAAACACTCGTGATCATACAGAGTGATAATCCATTATAATTTCCTAATTTTAACCTGAATTATATAGAGAATTGCGAGGATTTAAAGCCTGCAACCAGAAAGGCGACTAATTTAAACAAAAGAATGACAGGATCAAGATCTGATCTGTACAAGGTAAGCAAAACCACATATCCACGGCACAGTGGAGAGTTGAATGAAAATAGAGAAAGAGAAAAACCTTGATTATTCGGCGAAGATACTGAGGCAATACTGAATTGGGTCGGACATGAGAGCTTGTTCGACCTTTCGAAGTTGTGGGCAGCATCTTTATCTTTTTCCTCTTCTTCTACAATTTCCTGTATGTTCCCTTTTGTTAATTCAATAGGATCAGAGATTCAGATGTCTCTGGATTTTAAGCTCTCTGTCTGGTTAGACACTCCAGTCCGCTCTCTTGCTCTCTCTCTCTCTCTCTCTCTCTCCCCTCTCTTTCTGGTAAGGCAGGTGACTCGCTGACGGGTTCGGGTGAAATAACCCGGCCCAACAAAAAAAGATCCAACTGAAGGCCCGAGGGGCGAGGACTATACCTTCATTAACACTTTTCCTCTTGTTTTTGTTTTTTTTTCAGACATCAACACTTCACAAATTACACTGTTTAGCTCCTTTTCTTTTTCAAATGACAAATCTATTCTAAAATCTATAATAAGGGGTCCTTTGGTTAAGAAACAAGTCATTGGTAGATTAATGATATAGGGATTGTAATGTATGAATAGTAATGTAAAAATTAATAATACATGAAATGTAATGTAGAAATTTAAATATGTATTTTGTATCTTTTTATTTAATAATAATTGTTTAATACATGAGAATTTTTTTGATCATTTTAGTTGGTTTAATTCATTTACGACCGCATTCTTGTTTTACATTTTATTATGCATATAATAATACATAAATTTATTACATAATTTATACAAGTATTGCTAATGAGGATAATAAAAATGTTAACCTAACATTATACTAAGGGGCGTATTTAGGGGGTTCATGGGGTCTTGTGAATCCATGCTCCACTCCCTGAATCGTGTATAGTAATGTTGTAATTTTTAAGAATATATATATATATATATGTATGTGTGTGTGTGTGTGTATGCACCTAATTTCAAAGTATTATATGATACGATAGTTATTGGATGCACCTCTAGGATAATAGTTAAATCTTATTTTATCTTATCGTTTTTTTTATTTATTTATTTTGAATTTGACGCATGAGAGATGGGCATGTCTGGTGTCGTTTCTTGCATATGAATGAAGTAATTTTTTTTCTTTGTTTGTTTGTTAGTTTATTCTTTCAAAATTTTCATGTATAACACATTGAGGAATATATATATATATATATATATAAATAAAATTAAAGATTGAATTCGCAAAATTTATAATACTAGTCTTAGTGTGCGTGCGTTGCACGTGTATACAACGTCAGTAAACTAAAATTTGTATACAGGAAATATTAATTATGTAAAATAAAAAATAACGTTAAACCGTCACTTAAGTGACAAAAATAAATATAATTACATATATATAGTAATTAAATATTTTTAGAACTTGCAGAGATAAATAGATCAGCTAAGTTAGTTATATATTATTTAATTATAGGTATTTTTATTGTATGATATAATAATATGTTAGTGCATTGTTGAACCTAACCTAATTTCTCTTTAATAAACGTTGTTGTCGGTCCTAATTATTTATTTAATATTGAAACAAAAATAATGACTATTTATCATGTAATCATTTAGATGCGTATTATTTACAATAATAATAAATTACCAAGTAAAATATTTAATCAAATAAACTATGAAAAAGTTTCTTAAGCTATCGGCGCATTTAAATATAATCAACGATTTAAAATTGTAAAAGGAACAAAAAAAATCAAAAGAGTAAATTTATAGAAAATGAAAAATATAAATGAAGAACACAATGACTTCAATGAGCTATATATAGGCAAACTTATGAACATATAAACATATAACACAAATATTATTAGCAAAAATTCGAGAAGGAAATATCCATAGAAAACAAAAATCAAATAGTTAATTTCTAACATTAGTTTGAATAGTAGAAATAGATTTATAGCTAGGATCAATGGCGGATCTACTTGGTTCTTTGTGGGTGCTCAAGCACTCATTACCTTTGACAAGATTTGATAAATTTGCATAGGCAATTATAAAAATAGTTAGATAAATATTGAGGGAGCACCTGTAACTAAACTCATTTTTTCTCTTCTTTTAGAATTTTTATCGGTGAGCACCTACGACTTTAAAATCTTGGATCCACCACTGGCTAGGAGCACACAATGTAGTTCGACTTCATTAGGTCATGCACTAAAATTAGTGCACTACAATTGATCGTAAGTGGTAATTAGTAAGATCATAATAAAGAGAAAAAGAATGATCCGAACTTTCTTCATTGTCAAATACAATCGTCATGCGTAATGCATACAGTACAAAAGTGCACTTAAAAGACTAATTTGCGCTCTAGCCTAACTTGCCATAACTATTGCACAAACAAACAAATATTACAAATAACAAAAGAAGCATCGACTTTAGATAATCTTAACATGTCGAATAACCTGTGGAAATCGCCAAGTATTGGATTAATGAACTTGACAATTACCGTGTAAGAAATTATAATCCTATACAAGAAAGAAAAGACTGTGTTTTAGGAAAAAGAATAAATTTATTCTGTAGAAGGGCTAGAAAAAATAAATTGCACTATTATTATTATTATTATAATAAAAGAGAAACCACATTATAATAAAGCAAAAAAATCTCAGCACTTTAAATGAATATAAAGGCATACCTTATCGGCTAACACTTTAGATTGCCAATAAAAGCAAGAAGAGCATTAGCAAGAACTTTAGCAAAGAGTTTATGCGGAGTTCTAAATTGAAAGTCAAAATTATTGTTGGATATTAATTCATGAAAATATACTACATAGAATAAAGCAAAAAATAAAAAGCTAAACCTAAATCAAATCAAAACAACCTATGAAACAAATTTACAACCATAAGTTTTTCTAGAACTATATAGGAGATTATGTAGACGTTTTCAATTCTCCAAATTTACTTGGAAATATGCTTACATAGTGATTTATTCAAGTCTCCATATTTGGAAAGAAATCAAAGGGAATAAGGACTTTCTTTTAATAAATATGTGCGTAATTATTAGGTGAGATATTATAAAAATAATTAAGTAATAATTTGAGGAAAATAGTAAATGATAATTTTGTCTATTGTGATATCTTTTAATGAAGGATAAAAAATTCAATCAATATTCCGTTAAGTGATTTCGTGCTTTTAATATAATAAGTATAAATATAGATAGACCGATAGATTTACCTCGTTGTAATAGTGCATCTATCTTTGCAAAATCATAGATTCACGCCTGCAATATACTGTTAATGTTGAATTTTACGCAAGTATCAAAATGTTAACCAAACATGACATTAATAAATACTAATGCCGAATTTTAAAACAAGAGGAACTCAGGGTCAAAAGTGTACCATATCTAAAAACTTTAGCTGCCAAGTAGCATTTCAGATAACCACAGGGGCACGTTGCCCTAAAAGATTCATCGTCTTCCAGGCAATCAAATTCGGTGGCGAAGCCCCGGTGCTCCTCCTAGGGAAAGGTTCTCTCAGTCGCAACAGTTAACAATATATTCTTCCATACCTTATTATTCTGCCGCCAGTGGGAGAGTTTAAATATCTCATTTGATTTGCGAAGATGTCATCATCTGGTCGATCTGCGGCCGTGGCGGCCGGCGATTTACAGTTGGTTCCTGCGTCGGAGAGGCAGGTGGCTGCCCTACCTCCTCGCCCTCCATCGTCTTCGTCCACCGCTCTTGTAGAATATACGCCACCTGCGGCTAATCCTGAAGAGGAGGATCTCGAGATCAAGCTCCGTCGTATACTTGAATGTGTGCCTGTGCGGGTTAGCAATACATCTGGTAGTTCTGCTGGTTCTGGCTCTGGTGACTTTCATCAGGTATCGCTACACTATTCTGGTTCGTTGTTGAGCCCTAGTTTGCTCTGGGTTTTTTTCTTTGTGGTTAACTCTGTATGTTGCTATTCCGAGCGTTTGATTATTTCCTGCTCTATTCTGATATATAATCGTGGTATCGTGCTTTGAAGTTAGAATTCATTCTGGTTAACGGCTGCTGAACAGGAAATTACTTGCGTTTAGAGACTCTGTGTGTGGACTGTGGTAAATTGAGAGCACCAGAAGTAGTTGTTAATTTAAGGTTTTGAGAATGATGTAATTCTTGTAGTAAACATTGAAACAGATAAATAGTAGGACTTTGTTGTGCTGCAGCCTGCAAGATGTATAAAGTTCGATTGAATGTGTTCAAAATTGATGATTTGCTTAAGTCTAACCAGAAATTTGCAAGGCTGCACCTGTCTATTGAAAAGCATAATAAGGTAAACATATCATGCAGTTGCTGGTTTGACTCTTGGATTGAGTTGCTACTAGTGAAATGACTTTCTGGCGAGACTCAACATATACACTATTTACTGATTCACTTATTTTGCTGAAGTTCATGTCATACAATGTGATTGAGTTAATAACCTATGTGTCCCTAATTCTTCTCACAAAGAAGAAACTCAGCATCTTATTAAGAACCTTTTTCCTTCTGTTGTTCTTTTTTTAGGATCTATAAAGATATAATTTTGTTGATGACACATTCTTCCTTTTCCTTCTGTTTACTGCATTATCACTAGATGAATTATAAGTTACGTGAAGAGGTCTGTTCCTTATGTTTTCAACTTGAACAGAAATTCGTCTTACAATGTTCTGGTGATGCTATCGAATCCAATGATAGGGCTCCTTGTCGTGGTGGCTAGGCAAATTCAGATGAAAAGTGAGATCACTTTCAGATAGCATGATGGAGCTTATGTCCTACCTAGAGAGCCTAGGTTCTCTTTATAATCCATCAGTCTGCGTGTTTTGGGGTAATCTCATGGAGGAAACAGCCAAAAGTAGTTATTGTGTTCACTACTCCGACATACCCCTTCTACCCTTACTTTCCTACTAATTAGGAAGAAAGAGGCACTTGGTCTTGGCCTGACCTGCAAGATTCGCAACTCCAAATTCCAGCATCACTTTTTCTGCCTTATCGATATTTTAGTGGCACTTTGCGGTCCAACTGTGGTTTGAAATGATGTCTTCTGGCTGCTTTTACTGTTGTATCATCAACTGACTTTTCTTGCTCTCAGTATCTACTTGGTTATAATTCATGTCGAGCTTAATTTTCAACCGTAGGTCTTTGGCAGGCAATATAGTTAGTTTCTTGAGCAAAGCTTCCAACTCCAAGGAACCTGTTTGCAGATTGTGAGTGTTCAAATAATAAAGCAATAGCTGAAGTAGTAGGGTGGGGATGAGAGTAATTTATTTCTAGAGAATTCCATGAGAGAGAAAGAGATTACAAGGCCAGTACTTAAAAGGGCGGAAAAGCCATCTCTTCTGTATAGTTTGCTTTGTGAAGAAAGGGAATGTAGTTAAGATAGCACTCTAGGTGGCCATGGAGTGAGAATGCATGTTCTATTTTGAAGAAGAAAATAGAAGTGCTTGTTGTTTATCGAAGAAGGCCTACGTTTTTATTGTATTGCGTTTGTAAAATGTCAAAGGATGAGACATGTCCTCAAGAGCTCTAGAAGTGAGATAAATTTCAGTGAAGATTCGGGGTAAAGTGCACTTTGAAACTTGAAAGAAATAATATATCAGATGCAGGCAAATAGGTAGGTAAGAAATAGCTCCCAAATTGCTAAAGGTTCAGTATCTTATTTATTTTAGTGTTAACATTTTGAAAGATTGAAGCAGTATCCACTCTCAAAAGAATATTGAAAAAGTTATAAGAGTTAATGGAGGTCGGATGATTCATTCCATAAAAGCTGCAAGTGATTACAGTGGTTTTTAGTGGTCAAAATTGGAAGTAGATATGTGTAAATGATTGCACTAACCTAATCCTTCCCTGAAATTAGGAGAAGAAATGTGCTTTAGAGTGTAGAGAAAGATTTGTCATTCTGCTCAGGCAATTTCGTTTTATTATCTTGTTTTCGTGGACTCTACTGACTCTGAAATCTGCTATTCTGACCCTTGATAAAAAATTCTTGTAGTTTTGTCGTATTTACTTCTAGTAAGCTCAAGTGGGTTTTCCTTAAGTTTTTTCCCTTTTTCTTCCTGAAAAGATTGGTACACAATCCTGTAACTAAATGCAAGCAAATCAAAGATGATTGTGTCTTTCTAGTTGCCTCAAGCCTAACCTGAACGAGTTAGTTGTGAAATGTGATCGGAGTGTTTGAACTGAACGATAACTCTGCCTGTTTTTTCTTGTCTGGTTGAAGATTTCACTATTTGTAAAACGTCTAGTGTCTGCTAAGTTTGACAATTTGTTATCTTGAAAACAATTGTGTGCTGGAATATTTGCTGATGTTAAGATTATAGTTATGTATATATATTGTAGGCAAAATACAATTTTACATTTGCGTTTAGATGTTCGTGGGGTGCAAATAGTACATCTTAAGCAGTATGAGTATTAGAGTATACTCGTCGACCTGGAGCTTGTCTTGGTTTATTTCCTCTCATTACTTCCATAATATGATATATGTTGACTTTAGTGACTCATATTGTTGCTTTGAGTTCAAATGTGCTTGAGTAGTATTCGAGTCGCGTTTATATGTGCATATATGTCTTCTTATCTGACTGCATGCCGAATCAATCAATGGTGAGAAGAAACTGGATAGTATTTCATCAGCTACCTAAATCTGGAAATTTGAAGTGATGCCTAAAAGAAGCTACGTTGAGCTATGCCAAAAACTAAAATGAACTCGTTATTTAAGTTACGGCCTACTTGAAATTAAAACTGATTTCGCCCTGCCCCGTTTGGTGTCTTTCCATAAATGGTCAAGCTTACCATGATATGGTCCATGGCAAATACATACGTATAGATGATGTTCTTCCTTTTTCTCGGTCAAGCTTTCTATTGGAGGCATAATCTAGGATGTTTAGCCTGTATTTGTTCATATGTCAGAGTTATGGTTGACAAAAGCTATTGAAATTTGTTATTCTTGATAGGTGTTTTCCTGCATTTTGATATCTGAACATGCATTTTGGTTATTCAACATTGTAATTGCAATCTGTTGAATGATGTGTAAGAAGTGATTTACTGCGATGGGGTCATATCTGGTTTTAAAGAATACGTTGACAGTGTCAAGTGGCAGAAATAACATTTCCTGGGGATTTTTGGCTGCAGTATCGGCAGATGAGACGGAGAGAACAAGACCGGCTTGCAAGGATGGATGCAGATTACCAAAAAAGGAAAGAAGTTGCTGAATTCAACTTGAGAAGAGAAGAAAAATTAAAAGCTGCGGAAGAGCGGACAGCGAAGAAACGTGCGAAGCGGCAGAAGAAAAAGCAGAGGAAGAAAGAGAAGAAGAGTAATTCTAGTGCAGGTGGAGAAGAAAACCGCAGGGAAGAGTCGTCTGATGATGACGATTCTGACAACAGCTAAGAAGGGAGAGGTGGTTGACTTCAAATTTAGCGGGCACTGCCTAGATGCTTTGATCGGGAGCTTACATGAGCTATATAGTTCGAAAACTTGTGATCATGTAACATAATTTGTGAACAATTTTTCAACATCCAATATGTAATACTCCTGTATTTTGTCTTTGTTTCATTTATTTGAAAAAAACTATCATCTAGAATCTGGGGGGCTTAAAACGTTGATTCGTGAAATCTAGATGGTCCATGGACGGGCAATCTTGGCTGCTAAGGCTATGGTACCATTGTCAATATAGTAAGGCGTCGTCCAGCTAGTTGTTATATAGTCTTTGGGAGGCCCCCACCCTATCTTTTAATGGAGTTTACATTTGAATCATTGAACCACACCACTAGCAGTTGGTGGGCGTCACCAATAGTTGTCATTCTCTTTTGCGTACAATTCAAGAAATTGACACATATTTTTATATTCTTTCTTTAAGTGAAATAGTCAACGACTCTCAAGCATTCAATTAATGCAACTTAGATCACAATTCACAGTTGGTGAATTTAAATATGTTCCCGTTAAAAAACAGTGTTGACATAAATACGACCAGGTTAGGCTTGATAACTTTTGGAGAGAAAATTTTGATATACACAATGCAATATGTCTATTTTTTTTATTTTTTACAGTGGATTAATAATCACCCGGCTAAATTTTGACTTGTGAGTTGTATCATATCATAATGCCAATTTGCTTATTAGTCACACGATAGGGATTGTACAGGTTATAATTTCCCCGACTAGACCATTTATCTAATTGGGATGTGAATTGTGATTACTCTCTATTGTGCATTTGATGATGTGCCTTACTGGCGTGCAATTACTTAGTAATGTAATACTCCCTCCGGTTCATAACAAGTGACCAATTTGCCTTTTTATTTTGGTCCAAAATAAGTGTCCATTTATATAACCAAGAAAAAATTCAATTTGTTTTTCCAAAGTTACCCTTATGTTAGTAATCCTAAAAAATCTTTTACTACTCACATTAACTATGCTGCAACATTTAATTAAGAGTAGTTTAGTCACACTAATTATTTTTGTCTAGAATTTAGTGTTTCCTTAATGGGTGGTAAATCTGTCACTGTGGATGGTTGAGAGAACAATTTAATTTGATCTTAAATTTGACCCGTTATTCTTAGACATTATCATTATCAAGTAAAAAGTCCAAAAAAAAGAAAAGAAAAGTAAAAGCCTTTACCCTTTAGCATAACGTCCTTTTGATATTTTTTTTTCTTCATCCTTTTGCTTAATTATGTTATTGTTTAATTCACTAGCACGACTCAGGCGTATTTGAAAGTTGAAACTGATTTACCATAGCCTGACCGCAAAATTACCGTCATCGCCCTTTCAGATTCTCCCTCCGTCCCTGCGGTTTTCATTCTTCGGTTGCAGAAGTAGACAGAAACCCTAATCGCCATGGGAGATAATCGTCAGTCTTTTGTCCATCATGCTCTTGGTGGTGGTCCAGGTCTCTTTCCCATCTACGCCTGCGTATTACCTTCTTCATATTCTTGCCTCTGTATATAATTATGCATCCAATGCCCAATTCATGCATTTTCATAAATTCAGATTTGACATTGACCTTATTGCATTTATTAATTACCGCATCAATTCACTGTGGATTGTGAAGTACCACTTGATCACGAGTATAAACATCTACTTTTTTCTAGAAAATAGATATTGTTTAATAAATAAATAAATTGTTGAAGTGCTTAAATTGTGATTGCAGTGGCGGATGTGTTGTTGTGGAGGAGATGGTGTGGTAGTGTTACTCTGCTTGTCAGTTCCACTGCGCTTTGGATTCTATTTGAGAGAGCTGGATATAATGTTCTTTCCTTTATTGCTAATGTCCTGTTGCTTCTAGTTGTGATTCTCTTCTTCTGGGCTAAATCTGCTTCACTTCTTAACAGGTAATGAATTATAACTCAATTCGACTTTTTCGAAATACTCAGTTTCTGATTGCTCTGTGACTAAGATTGGTGGATCATCTATTTTGTCTATGAGTATTTGAAAATTAAAGCCTTGATCTGCTTGGTTGTTGCATTTCTTCTGCCTTTTCAACTGGAGCATGCATTCCGATTGTGATTTTTGATCGCGTGGAGCAATTTGACGTTATTTTATGGTTATGATGTAGTAAGACTTGCTATGGCTTAATGATTCAATTAATGTTTCTACAATTCCAGGCCTCTACCTCCTATCCCTGATATGGAGGTTCATGAGGAATCTGTGGTAAAAGCTGCTGATATGGTGCGTGTTTGGATCAATCATGTATTGATGATTGCGCATGATATTGCTATTGGTGGGAACTTAAAACTTTTTGTTAAGGTCTGCTTTTATGGAAACCTTTCCATTTCATGCATCATGTTTTGTTCGCCTTTATCATGCGTCATGTTATGTTCACGTTTACATCTTATTACATGGATTGATTTATCAGGTTGCTGTTGGCTTGTGGCTGATATCTTATGTTGGTAGTTTTTGCAACTTCCTCACTTTCATATACATGGGTGAGTAGTAGCGTCTTGTCAGGACGATATAAGTTGTTGTTGAGGATTTATTGTTGACTGGATTGTGTATCTTGCCTTCAGGAATTCTTTTTAGCTTATCAGTGCCGCTGTTGTATGACAAGTACCAAGATCAAATTGATGACAAGCTTATTATAGCACAAAAGGTCATTCAGACACAGTACAGGAAAATTGATGATAACATCCTGAGAAAGATTTCAAGGCCTTTAAACAAGGAAAAGAAGACTCAATAAACTGTAACTTCTCACCTCACCCTTTCTCTTGCTCTCTCTTTCTATAAGATACAAAGATATACATGCACTTTTTTGTTTCTTGTGAAAATGACGATAGACTTAAACATTTGCTTATTTAAGTATCCTGTGTTGTGCTGCTCTACATTGTGCCTTTTCTTGAAAGCAAAATACATTTGTGCTGCTATAAGCTCTTGATATGCTAATACAAGGGGGCACTAATAGGAGCTATTTTACTTGCTGATTCTGACTTGTTTTGGGATGAATTTTCATATTTCTTCTGGTATAATTACAAGAGCAAGGCTCTTGAGGTACCTGAAGACTTTAACCGTGCAGCTATACCCCTTATCTATGATTTTCCTTGTTCAAATCCTTTCCTTTTATGGGCACGTTGATAGCCTGCTGATCATTCAAGACAAACTTTATAGCAAAAGAATTTATTTGTGCTCCAGATGCCTTAATTTTGTGAGAAATTTGGAAACGTAGAAAAATCATAGAACAAGTAAAAAGTGGTGAGAGTCCACGTAAAAGCAGATACTGAAAATTTGTCTAATTTTATCTTTACGCTTTTCAACCATGTAATTTTCCTCTGCTCTCGGATATCCCTCTTTGCCTTTTAAAAAACTACATTAAAGTCATGCATAATCTGCTTTGACCAGAGAAGTGACTCTAATTCCCTTAAGGACCGCCAATTAGGTGTTCTCTAATACTAGAGGTTCTCTACAACCATATCAATAAATAAATATGTGTGTCATCTTAATGCCAAGAATAAGTTATCCATATTTCTTTTTACCTTCTACTAGTCTTCGGATACGTGCATCGCACGTGTACTTTAGCTCCAATGAGTAACTTGCTTCTAAAAGTCACATAAATATTATTAAAAATTGTGTTTGACTTATAAATCAAAAATATAATTAAATAAATTGGAATTGAATCTTTTGATTAGTTAGTGCACGAAAGAGGTTGCATCCTGTTTTATAATTTCTAAAAGATGATAAAACTTGTAAGTCAAGGGAAAGTTAGAAAACTATTTGTAATCTAAAGATTGGCTAAATAGTTATATTAAATAAAAAAGAACCATAATTTCTCATACCCTACAGTTTTGCAAGTAACAAAGTTCAACAAAATTAGAAAACATATATATAATCAATTTTTTTTTTTTTACTCATATAAATAAATTTTTTGTTTGAATTGTGTGTCTAATTATTACTTACTCTGTACTGCAGTTGAATGTATTCGGCTAAAAGAATCATTTGAACTCCAGGTTTTATCGTAAATTATTATTTTTACTATAACAATATTTTGAAGTGAGCCAATGCCAATCATTGGAAAGCTAACCTCAAAGTTCAAGTTCTTTTATTTCTACTCAAACTTAACGCTACTTCTTTTATTATAAAATATTAAGAATTTTTAAATGGAAATTTTGTTTTCACTTTGATATATTCTAAAATAAATAACAAACATGAAATCTATCATAATTTTACATCTTTTGTTGAAGGCTTAAAATATTTAAATTTGATTGGGATAACTCAAAGTTCAAAACTTCCTATTGCAATGCAAATTCAGTATTACATTACTTGTTATTACTATGAGTTTATTCATAATTTTCAACTGGAGTACATAAAAAATAGCTTCCCTATATAAAGAAATGATGTCAAAATCCCATAACAATAAAAGTGATTATTTTGTAGTTAAATTCAAAGTCTTAATTTTTTTAATAAATATTTTTTTCAATAAAATTTTAAAATAATTGTAATATCTGACCCAACTCCTACTTATAACCAAACATCGAAAATGGAATACTCGTAATACTAAAAAATAGTTAAGATAATAATGTATGATGGATAACAATTACGATAAACAATGTATGATGAGCAACATTGTATTTTTTAAAATTATTTTTGTTGTTTTAAATGTGAAGTTGTCATTATAATTCAAAATTTTAAGCAAAAAGAAATATTAGAATTCAAAATATTTTCTGCAAATATCATTTCGTCCTTTTATTTATGAATTAATTAACAGCTTAATTTTTTTGACCCATCTTTTTTTTTTTCATTTCGTTGTCTTCTCATCTTTCCTTTCATTTATCTGTTCTGATTTCTTCTTATTACTCTTTCAAAGGAAATATCAGTTTGCCTCATGTCCAATTTCAAAGTGAAAATTCCAAGTATTAACTCTGTATACATTAGTTCATTAAGGAAGGAAATTAGATTTATTATACATGATTCAAATAAGGACTTTTATCTGTATAAATATAATCTTACTCTAATTTTATTCCTAAATATTAGGACTTTCTATATAATTCTAATAAGGCAAGAATTAATAATCATAATTTTATTTGATTTCAAAGTCCTAAATATTACAAAATTATTGAACTACTATTTCGTCCAATGCGAAATCTATTTTTAAAGG